AAGATAATGAGAATAATTAATTCATCTAATAATCACATTGAAGATTAGTAGACAATTAAATATTGACTATACACAGTCGCTACTATTGATATTACACCATATTTGTAAGTCTAATTAGAGAAATAATGTATATTTGGAATTATTTCAGTAAGTTTCTGCTGTTTTCACAGACTAAAACGAACAATGCGAATGAATCACTTTTTATTCTCTATTATTGCACATCCATTTTTTATTCGTAAGTCAATTTATTAAATTCATTTTTGTTTTGAATCTCTGAAATATAATTAGGGAAGATTATCTAAAGGGATCTTATAAATTTAAATTGTGTGGTGAACAACTGCGGTCAAGTGAGGAATTTTGATTGTTCGAGTACAAATATTGTTTTTTTTTATTCGAATAAAATGGTATTTAACATGTATGACTGTGGATGAAATTAATCGACCGGTACTTGGTGGAAATACGGCAGTGCATGCAGCTATTGTATATCTACTAATTAAACACGGAGCTTTCATTTCGATTCGAAATAATTCAACGAAGCTCACTCCATCCGAAGAGACAACTTCGCCTTATATAAAGCATCTTCTAACGAGTACAGGTAAAAAGCATGATCGAGTTGACTTTTATGGATCCATCGATACGTGAAACAAAGCAATTTTTTAATACAGCATTAAAGAATACGTTTTATAATATGAGTCTGCCGCTTATACTTAATTACTGGCTTAACTACTATGTTCGTGGATATGTTGTAAAGGTATCGAAGTCAACCGAGCAAAGTGAACGATAAATAATATGTTTGATTACAATTTACTTCTTAAAAAAGATATGACAAACATTAAATCATATCAGTATTCAATATGAGTATTAGTCACTTTTTTTCAATATCAAAGAAACAATCAATTATAGTCAAAAGCATCTCAACAGTGTCCTTTATTGATATCATACTCATTTCAGCATTTGTTTTTTCTTTTTGTCAAAACAGTTATGAAAATTTACGGTATAATATAGAATCATTTGACGAATTTGTTGTGAATCCCATATAACTACAATGAATTTAAGCTGAAGAGCTAAAGACACTAGACTTTTTATTCACCATAAATGAAGAATACGTACTAGGTTTCATATAAAATGAGTAAAACTCGAAATATCATTGTTAAATTCATAAGAAGAAAATTGCCAACTAAGAAACAATTTTCGTTTCTAATTAAGCACTAAATTTCAAAGTCATTATTTAGATGAGATGAAAAGATTTGTTTTTGCAGAATGAATTTGCACAGATTTAGAAATTTACTAGATAAAGTAATTAGTAAGAGCTTATTTTGCTCCATTATGTAATTCTTTTAGCTATGGGACCTACATATAGTCTATGCGCAAACCACAGACAGTGCACATGAATATATTTAAAAAAAAAGATGATTTTTTCGATCCCATTGAAATGTCAAGCAAATATTAGAATACCACCTTAAAAGAGAAGTCCATCCAAACTGAAACCATCCTTTGAGTATACCACTTAATTCTTCGTCTTAATTTCAATGTAATAAAAGTGTTATAGTATTTTCCTGCAATTGGAGATTTGATAATAGTAATGAAAGAATATTTCATGTTTTTCAATTGTTCATTTTCATCACGGTCTAATTTTATCAATTTATTTTGCTCTTGTAATAAAGGCCTATACTTCTTCTGAAATCTGAAGAATTTCATTTGAACCACAAAATACCTTGGCTACGAGTATTTTTTACTTAGTTGTTGCATGTAACTATGATCTTATGCTTCGACCAAGATCAAGATATGCTTATATCGATCTTGTTTATTGAGAGTTAAGAATGAGTTAGGACTATTTTCGAACTTACAAGAGGAATTAGCTGTTAGGAAATCGACTGTTCGTTTCGACGTCGATAGATTTGTTGTGAATGGTGCATTTCAAAGAAGTTATTTCAATCAAACTTTATTAGAAATTAGCGTTCGGTGTGTTTACAAGATTCGTCGTCCATAAATGCGTGCAATCGATATCACAGAGATGTCAGAATATGAAAATGTAGCCGATGTCTTACTCGAAGATTGTGATCAACCATCAAAATATGATCTCGTCGCCCCAAGTAGTTCAATGCGATTTTGCTGAATTTCCCCCAATACTCTACAGATTGCACCTTTCATATAGGCATGAACTTCTATCAAGTTTTTATAAGAAGCTTAGACTTTGGTTATGCATAGATAGTGTTTACATGATGTGATAAACATTATTGGAGAAGATGACTTGCAGCCATCATCATCAACATGTTGAACAGAACTGTCATTATTTTGATCTTATTAGTCATTATTGTTTTTATTCTCGTGTTGTGGACTATTCTTCTGCCAAATTTATTATGTGCTTCATGCAATAAAAATTCTCCGACAGTACTATTGCTAGAGAGGAATGCAAATGGTTCAAATCTATTTCAATAAAAAGAAAATCAATAAAAATAGTTCGAAGTGAAGCTTTCGTGGATGACACAGTGGCCATCATAAACTACATTGAACCTAAACACAATGGAATTAATTCCAGTTTCAATTTATTATTTTTATTACTTTATTTACAGCTGTTTACAAATTTTATACTTTATCTCAAGTTTTGAAATGAAGGATGGTCTTGTGGCAGTGAACATTGCAAAATGTCAGCAGCACGCTCGTGTTTCTGTAACACTATCATTTTTTGTTGTGAACATGATTGGGATCATTCAAAAGCGTTTACTATAGGAAAGTGTTTAATTTAGAGAATTTAGGCATAATTTGTTCTGCCATGAAGAGAAAGTTCTAGAAGATCTGCCTCTGCACTAGTCCAGTATAAAGACTTGGTTTTTTTATTCTCTTCTTCATCTATTTCCATCTGAATGATTTGAATTAAAAGATTTTTCTCTAATATAACACAAAACTTAGTTTTTTTCACAAATTCTCTATGGTTGCTTGTCTTTTGGTTTTTGAACTAATATACACTACTAGCCACAAGTATCTCGCTCGGATCTCACTTATTACAATAGCTAGATGCGTGAATGGTTAAGAACCTACTCACACCAACACGGCGATACTAACTATTGGAAAAGATTCAGTGTCATAATAATGCGTATTATTGCTCTTATGATCTTTATGCTTGTCAGTGCTAACAATACAACGACCTATGTCTACTCAGATTATCTACTGACACCAAACGAATGGAAAGTCAATTTCATATATATCATGCGGGTGTTGCATATTTATTGATGGTTGGACCTTAGAACAATAAATTCTAAGGTTCTCCAAAAGATCATGAGAATTGTAGTTAGACTCAAATAGTGACAGACACAGCAAAAGTCTCGTTTGTGGAAAAAGTTTCGCATCTCCACTAAAACCTTTATTGGCTCCTGGTTGCATCTCTTTGTTTTCGCGAGTTATTGTACTTTTTGGATATTGCCGCATTGAATCCAACTCAAATGCTAGAATTCTTATTAGGATCTAAAAATATGATCTCAGATCAAATTTAACCTTAATTCACAAANTTCTTTTTAAACCGAAATAATCCTAGAAATCAAGTAAAATTTTGATTAAAATCTAAAGTAACCTTGATTTCGAAGAATTATTTTTGATTAAAAATCAGATTATTTGTGATTTGGAAAATTCCAATCAATTATAATTTGAATTTTGTTACAGAAAAATCCGATGATAATCTCACAAAACAGATATAATCTAACTTTTTTCACTGGGTAATTTTCCTGAATCAGACTTTTTTTTACCATTAATTGCCAATGGTGAGATTTTTCTTTCGATACTAACTGATTCTAAAAGAAGAAAACTCTCACAGTCATAGTTAATATGTTTTTGGGTTTGCTACTCTTTAAATAGGAAATATACATATTAATATTGCCTGTTTCTTTCCTTATAATAGCTGCTGCAAAAACAAACCAAGGAATGACGAAGTATCTGTTCCAGTAATTGATGAGTGTGGATGTGGATGTGAGTGCGAATGTGGGTGTGAGTGTGGGTGTGAGTGTGGGTGTGGGTGTGGGTGTGGGTGTGGGGTGTGGATGTGAGGGTTAATGTAGTTGTTTCTGATCTGTCATCCACACCCACACCCCTCTTGTACTGAGAATGATATTCTTTGGAATTTCATGGAAACTAAGTTTTTAAAAAAATTCTGGGATAGATTTTTAATTTATATTTAGCTTTTAAAGATAGAGTGTGTGTTATAGGTCGTTCTTAGCAAGAGAAAACTGATGAATGTCTTATCAAAAGTAGAAAATAAGTGTTTCGGAGTGTTTGGCTTAAAACACTGTGATAAGTATACGGAATCATACTCCGTCTACATGAAGACAATATAGACACTATAAATAATGCAGTGAAGGTAAAATGTCCAATTGTGATGGAGTATTGAATGACTCTTAATGAGGTTATGTCTGGAGAAGAATTTGATAACTCCTTGGGCATTTATTTTCGTATCAAACTAATACTGCGGTGGGTTCTCTTAGGTTGAATACCAACAATAAGCTTATGCCTAGTAACATGAAATTGTTCAATAATGTTCAGAGTGTATTCTGGTTACCGTAATATATTCTGGTAACCCAGTGCATTTCTAGATTCTTCAATAATCGGAAGATTCATATTCAAGCTGATATGAAAGATGCTTTGAATATGTTATTTAAAAAAATCCCTAAATTAAAAAAATCCCTGAATCAGAATCCCTAATTTGTTAGTGATTTTAATATTCTCTGTTTTATTATCCACAAATGTGGATTCGATTTATGGATGCATTCTGGGTACCAGAATTTAGGGTAAATGATAACATACCAAATATTATTCAAAAAATACTCACGAGCATTCATGTTCATGGTACGAGGACACATACGAAAGAAACAGATCTTATCGAAATTTTATTATTATGATATTAGTTGAATAGCGATCAAATAGCATAGAAAGATAGAGCAAAACACGCTCTATCTGTTCATAAAAAGATATTCTTTCCAAGCAGTCTATACGAAATTAAGATGTGGGACTCACTACTTTTGGTATGACCTAAGTATTTCACCAAGAATTTCAATAAATTCATCTGATGATAATGACATTCTTTTATATGTACGAAAACGTATTTGATGATAATCAGAATCATGAATTATTGTAATTACATCACCATATGAACATACAGTTTGTATTTGTGTACTTAGGTAGATTTTTCGAATCATACAAGATAAAACAATTGAGTCTGATTTACATATCATGGTCTTATCATTTAAATGATTACCAGCTAAAATTAAATCTAATGCCATACGAACACGTATTCGTTGACGATTAATTGTATTATAACCTTGTTTTTGTATGAAAAAGTGTTGTGAGAAATAAAAGATCTTTATAAATGTTTCTTACTTTATATTGTATTCATTAGTTCATCAGCTATTTTATTATTTGTTTGATTTAAAAATGGAGAAGTTGATTGATCAGTTAACATAATAATACCATTTAAAACATCTTCAATATCTTTCTAAAATTAGAAATAATTCGTACTCCGTCCTTTTTTTTTAGTTAAGATATGAAAATAAATTTTCTGTATTAGTCAAGGCAGCTGCCATAGATTGTACACCATAAATAATTTTATCGATCATTGCTTGTTCAATTGGTATAAATTGATCGGAATAATAGAATTGATGATATGTATTTTCATAGGGTAATATTTGAATTGTTTGATTTTAAATTTTCTTTTTTTTCTTAATTTTTTTGATTGATTTTGTTGATTATTTATTTTTATTTCATTTTGTAAATATTCATATGTTATTTCTTCATTGATTATAAATTTAAGTATATAGCTTCAATGTTAGCAATTAATTTGTTTATTTTCTATTTGAAATTATTATAACATTAGTTAATTGAGAGTTTTCATATATACATACTTTATGATTTTTAGTTTTATATTGATTATGAATTTGATTCATTAGTTTTGTAAAACTTGCTTTAGTTTTTTGTAGAATAACTGATGATGAATCAAATGTATCATTTGATTCCATAGAACATAAAGGTTTAGTATTAATCACATGAATGTCTTCTTCTTTGTCTGTCATTTTTATTAAAGATATTTTACTCTTCTTAGATAAATTTAAATATCGCTCATAATGTCTATAATTATGAATAGCATTTCCGAGAAGTTGATTATTTCTAAGTTGCATTTCAACTATTGTTGGTAATTTTATTGGTATACAATGCATATCTTCTGATGGAAAAAATAATGAATAGCTTTATCTGTTATTTCAAAACTATCATTGGCTTCTAAAATATCTATTCCATAATACAAATAAATTTGAGTGTAATTTGAATTTTATTTATTATGATGTATTCAATATGAAATCTTACATCGGTACGAATATTATTGGCAATCTTAATGCATTCTGATACTTTAACAAGAAATGCATCAGAGAAAATTCGACGATCTTTCATTCTATTTGTTTTGTTCATATTGGTTGTTGCAGAAAATGATTCAGATTTATGTTGATCCATGATTTATTTAGTCATTTACTAGATTGTAGAATATCTGAATTTATCTTAGCGCCAAATAAGCATCTTTAGAACTTAGTTTTCTATTATAATTACAATGCAAAGTATTGTACAGTAATCGTTCGAGAGTTTATTTATTTTTTTGGCACATAACTCGAACCACTATTTTGTATCATGATGATCTAAGGATCGAAGAGTTCTGCAATTTTCATTTAAACAGTATTACAAAATTCTATGTTCCTATATGATGAAAGTTTTTTTTTTTAATAGTTGATCAAAGATGCTGAGCATCGCTAGAGGATTCATAGTACTAGTTAAGTATTTATCTGCTTTTATTGATTGAACAAAATTCATATAAGAATTCTTGGTTTTCAAAAAGTGTTTAGCTAATCATATGTTATCTTTAACCATAGTGTATCGCTCTTATTCAACGGGTGTGAATAGAGATCTTTTCTTCAATGAATCCCGTAGCCAGCTGGAATCCTATAAGCCTCTCTAGTAAGAACTCACATCAGTACTGACAATAGTTTCAAAGTTTTCTAGAAGAATTAAATCTGTTCCAACCTTTTTCTGATTACGTCACTATTTGAAAAACAACCAATCAGAAGATGATTAGTTTTCAACATAATGTTTCAGCACTATTACCAATATTACAATTGAGCATGTTATCGCTCTGCAAGTTATCTAACATTTTTTCATCAATTAAACAAATGATATATCTATTGCTTACTAAATTTACTAAAAAAAACAATGCTCAATTGAATTTTAAAACAAAACCTTTTTTTTTACAAAGTGCTCTTCAAAATTTCACCCAAAAAGAAAACGATATGAATTCATAGGTAGTCTTTGAATGTCCAAAAATACTTGATTCCTCTTCCGACCTCTTCTTCCCTGGATGTGGGTGTGATTATAGATGAAGAAAATAATGAACTTACACCTACACCTTTCTTTCAATGAAGATCCTCGACAGATGATAATTGTGGATCAATGAGTCATTTTTTCAATACTATCAGTGATTTGTTTCGTCACTATGTTGGTTTAAAGAACCATGTTGGCTTCCTATGTCATATAACTATAATGAAAGAATTTTTCTTTCAAAAAAACACATTTCGATAATCAAGATCATTCTGTTAGTGATCGACTCGTTACTGACAGATATTGTTTTCTGACAACATCAGCATGAACGGTAAATGAGATCGGAAAGAAGTATTCAATTTAATTGATAATAGCTAAGAAGGTATAAGTTTTTTTATCTTTCTATATTCTTAATGATATAATAAGACTCTGATTGTCTTTAGTTGCTAACAAAGAAGTCATTGCATACAAAATGATACGGATTCGCCTTACAATATGTATAAGAAATTAACAATGTGAACAACTTGATTTCGATTAGAATACAGCGACTTTTATGGTTTTTATTCGATTATGAATATTAGAATTGATAACTGTTATATCATATCGTTTGATAATCAGTTCTGTTTCTTCTAGACACCGATAGCAAAAAGGAAACCAGAGCAGATGCTACCATAGCAATGAATGTAATTTGAAAAAAACTGAGAGGCTTAGTTACAACTAAAAAGAATGGATCAAGAGATGTACTAAGTTCTTCCAATTTCATGATCTGTAAAATTAAAGACAACCGTTTCACTCTGTTAGAACAAAAGACTCATAAAAGATGAATTTCAAAAATTCTATCTTTCTATATCTTTTTACAATTACTGTGCTAAGTATTGAGATAGAGACAAGTAAAGAGAATAATTACATAATCTGTAACTTAGTACATCTTGAATGAAAAGTAAATAATGAAGAAAAAAGACGAGCTGTGATTGATGAACAAACATCACTCAATGGTATGAAACTGAAGGATCACATTTAGTCCTTTCTGGATCACGTTCATCCATCAAATCGATGTGTCATCATTGTTTTTCAAATTTTTCATTTTCATATGAAAAGTATGGCAAGAAAAAAGTTTGAAAACTTCAATGTTTTCTATATAGTTAGTTAGTCCTCGAAACAGTACTGTACAATATAATTTTTTTTATTGCTAAAAGAAAACTATTTCACCGAATCATTCGTCATAGAATTCAAAGATGAAGAACAACAATACCTATGAAGTGAATTCGGTGGAAAATGCTTCATTTACTCGACAATATCTCTTTTGAGTTTTGTATACAGTAGAACAAGAATCTGTTGATATTCAAGCGAGACACGGTAATCGATGCTTGAAATAAAGAAACAAATGGCTGAGTTTGGGTGTGGCAATTAACTTTATCACATTCTGTCAAAGAAAAATGGTCTATGTTTATCAATCGAAGTTCTACGAATCTTCTCATTAAAATCAACAATGAATGATTTAATTGATGCAAATAAATACAGGTACAATTTTTTGATCTCGATCGACATTTTTAATAGAGTTGCTCCGATTCTTAATCATTCATTTTTATTTTGTGAAAATCTAATTTTTTATTCTTGTTTCAATTTAAATCAATACAAAAAAAAAGAAGAACGTGATCAAGTCAATATTTAATTTGTAATTGAATCGAGTTGGAATTTTCTAACTCGAGCATGAAAACTATCAACAGCATAGAGATAACCATATCGATCGAACGTTAAACCTTCTGGATGAAACCACCACCTTGCTTGTCCTCGTTGGCTATTCTCGTCAATAATAACACTACCTTGTGTACTTCCTTTTGGCCAACGCATGATTCGATTATTGCTGCTGTCTGCTATATAAACTGTGCCCAAATTATCGACGACAATTCCTTCCGGTGATAAAGCACTTGTGCAATCATCTCCAATTACTTGACCACTTGCTACGACTATACCCGTTTTTGCACCTTCCGTCCACTTCATGACACGATCGTTGTCCATGTCCGACACGTACACTGTATATTCTTTATCGACAAATATATACGTAGGAAAACTGAGTTGATCAAGACGATCACCAGCTCTATTGCCACCTGCCACCACAATTCCATGTTGTTCTCCAATTTTATATCGTTTCACCTGATGTTTTCCCGAATCAGAGACGTAAAGAAATCCACGATCATCCATTGTTAAACTGAAGCAATCAATATTCGAGATGATAGTTTCTCCCTGTGTACCATTATGACGAGACCATCGTACTACTCGTTTGTTGTTTCTGTCACAAATGAGGAGACTGTCAGTTGCTTGATCGACAATTACATCCGTTGGCCAATTTAGCTGATCATTCCTTTTTCCTTCTCCATTTCCACCAGCAATAATCTGACCAGTCGTCGCACCACACTTCCATTCCATAATACGACTATTTGCTTGATCAGCAACATAGACTGTTTGATCATCATCTACATGCAAACCTTTTGGCCAATAGAATTGATTTAACTCAGGTCCATATTTGTTGCCTCCAGCTACAGTAACACCGTCACGTATCCATTTAGCATCAGGATTGATATGGACCGGAGTTCCACGAAATGGTGCTATAATGAAACAAAAGAAACATCCTAAGTGATAATCGATCGAAATTATTAGTTTCTTTGAGCTTTTTAATCAGCGAATAAGCTGCATGTGTCAGATTTTTTTTCTCTCACTGCCAAAATTCGTACACTTTGTTTAATCATTCTTAGGGATAAGAATGAAGATCATTGCTCTCATTCTCATATACAGCAACATTTTCTCAGAATTCGGTAGATAAGCATTTTCTTACTACTCAATTGCTTGGCTTCGGCTTTGTTCGTATGGACAGCAACATTTGTATTGACTTGCATGATAATACCTGAAAAAATGAGAAAGACATTAACATATCGACAGAGAAACGATCTATCAAGCCACGATAATTCACTCAATATTCTATGTGATATTCAGACGAAGAATTTTTGACCCTCAATAAAGAATCTTTGAATAAAACAACAGATACGATAACAGCGACAATCGATCATTTATGAACATGTATTGTGCATAGTTATACGATTATTTTCATGGATTTCTGTTGAAACTTTTCCCAGAACTGGATCAATTAACATTTTACAACTTCCGAAAAAGAATTATATACTGAGAATTTGAAAGCTTATCGTAAACTTTCGTTACCTTTAAAAATGCCAAAAAAAAAAACGTTGATTGATACGAAAATCTTGAAATAACAACAAACGCAATTTATAATGATTATTTTCTATTGTGTTTTTCTTCAGATATGATATATTATCTATAAACTACATATGACCTCTTGTTTTATCGCTCACTTTTCTGTTTCTATTTTTTCATCTTTGACTAGTCGACTTCTTTTTCTCTTATCTAACGTCTAGGAAGGACTGAATGTAGACTATTTGAATAAACAATGAAATTTTAATTCATTTTTGATTTGATTAGCTTGTTTGGGATGGAAGAAGAGAAAAGAGAGAATATGCACTTGGAAATAAAGAAGAGCACTTAAAACAACATATGCATTCATTTCCTTTCATCTTCCATTATCCTGTTCTAAAAAAATTCACTCGTTCATAAAATTTTGTCATTAAGCCATACATAATTTTTTCAAGTGTCTTTTAGTTCAATATTGTATTCATGCAATGAAAAATATCAATTTTGTAGATAAGATCAAATATCATCGGTCACTCTTTTCTTTTTAAATGCACTACCAACAATCAAGCTTGGATAATTGTTCAAGTAAAAGAATGAACAAGTTTCATCGGTATATCTACGTCTATTTTTCCAAGAAAATGATTCAATGAAAACTATA